GCGCACTGCGCCTCGGGGCACGCCCGGTTCCCCGCCGTGACACGTGGCCCGCGGCCAGTTTTCCGCCCCTGACACAGGGTCCGCGGCCATTTTTGCGCCCCTGACATGTGGTCTGCGGCCATCTTTCCGCTGCGCTGCGCGTCGCCCGTCCGTTTTCCCGCCCCTGACGTGTGGTCCGCGGACGCCAGAATGGATTAACGGTAATTACATTGAACCTTATGGGGAAATTTCCTTTGGGTTACGACCAACTCGGGATACGACCAGAGTCACAGAACGGATTAAGTTCATAACCCGAGGTACCACTGTATAGGGTCTTAAATTCAACAAAACATTAAAATAATATATTTACATATCAACAGAAACAGAAAAGAACAAGGGAAGCAGTATTCATTACTAGTTTGTCCCCTGTAACCTAGAAAACCAAACAAATGGACACTCAGTTATTTTAGTTTAAAAAGAAGTTAACCCAATTGTAATTGTTCTAGAGTTATCTTTCCTGCAATAAAATCTGAAGACTTTACTGAAAGAGAAATGAAATTAAATGAAACTCAAAACCTTAAGTTTTGCTATTACCATCAGAAATACCCTTTCTGGTTCTACAATGCAGATTTATACATTTTAAAGCTTACTTACATTTGTGTGCCTCTTATGTGCTTTTCCTTTTATGAACAAAGTTTTATATTAATTAGAGAACTGCATTGGAAAAATGAAAAAAAGGGGGGGGAAGGAATTGTGTGGCAATTTTGCTTGTAAATTTGGGAAATGATGTTAAAATGTGTTCAGATTCATCTCCTGTTTCCAACGCTAGCAGCTGAGCTCTACTGAGTTTTCCAGTGCACAGCTTCCCCCCTCCCCAAAATCGCCCTGCTTCACATTTGCAAAAATATGTTTGTACAAATGACTACAGTGATTTGACTATTTTCATTTTCTTTTCTTCAGCAATTTAAATCAGAATCCAATTACATTTATTTAGTATTTAAACAAATCCCCATGTCAGAAGATAACTATATGCAAAACCACAAATCATTTATTTAGTATTTAAACAAATCCCCATGTCAGAAGATAACTATATGCAAAACCACAAATCATTTATTTAGTATTTAAACAAATCCCCATGTCAGAAGATAACTATATGCAAAACCACAAATTTCAGGTTAAAAGAATCTTCAGTGCAATACTGATATCATACAGAGAAATCTCAGAAGTAGGCTTATGAACTGATTGATACAGAATTTAATTATACTCCATTCAGAA